AAGATCCCTCTCTTGGTCTTTTTTAACTATTTTCTACGTTAAACATTTTTTCTCTAATGAAAACGAACCAATCAGAGGCCTTGACTACGCCATTAATTCCAGATCTCGGAAACTAAATATTTTGAAGGCCTGTGAATATTACCGGCGGATTGAGCTTGTTGACATTACGTAGAGCATCCCAAAATGAACTAAAAATATTCTTAAAATCGAATAAGAGATCGAAAATACTTAATTTCTACTATTTTCTCTATGGTAGAAATACCCAGCGGAATGTGTCGCAGCCTCAATGGAAAAAATGTGTCGCAAGTGGCTCCCGGTGTCGCAGAATATGTCGCAATTTGCGACACATGCGACACATTATTTTTCAGTGTGTGCTGGTGTACTGATTATATCAATTAAACATTTTTTTTTCTTCTAGGACTATATTGAAATGTTGAAACACGTAATGGCACTTAAATTACCAACTACTACATGTACCATATATAATCCAAATTATCCAGGTAAAACCTTATACTTCTCAGACAAATTCTTCATAATTGTCTGTCTAAATGGAAGTCACACGTCATTTTATTTGAGTTAAAAACGATAAAAATTAATTTGTTTCTTTACGTGGTTTTAAACTACAGCACGTAGAAGTTCTATTATTCACGCTATAAAAAACTTTTAAATGTCGACCATCTTATACGTAAAATTTTGAACAAAATTTGAACTCATCAGTTTTACTCATCGTCATAAAATTAATAAAAATTAATTTCTTTTCTTTCATATAATTTTTTAGATACATCCCAACAACAAATGTGCACCACTGGTCTTTCAGTACTCAATGATGTTATTGTTACAGAATCAACAAAATTAGGTATACCCGTAATTGATCTAAAAACAATTTTTAATAATGAAGCAGATTATGCTAATGCCATTGAACCAGATATGCCTGGCGGTGATAAAATAACAGACAATATGATATTAGTTGTTGAAAAACATGATTTTTCTTTACCATGGAGTACAATATATGCAAAAATAAAAGAATATGACGATAGTGAAGAGCATACAACGGGATGCTTTTGTACTCATTAATGTTTGTTTCTTCACTATTAACATTTTATTTGAATATTTTAAACAAGCTCGGTATAATTATATATATTCACGCAATACAACGAGTATGTTATTACTTTCTCAGCCGTTTATGACTGATAGGAAATATGTATTCGACGAACGAAAAATAATCGGTAAAGGTGAACTGAAAGTGTAAGTAGAATAAAAACGTGATTAAGATACTTTTCGACTGTTTCTTGGCTAATAAGTCTTGGCGAGTTTTCTTGTAACTAATATTTTATTCTATTTTATAGACTATAAAAAAAATCATAAAGTCTAAACTGTCAACCATCTTCTTTAAAATTGTAAATAGACTTTAATGTACTATGTTTTTGTTCACATTTTATTTTATTTTTTACTCTGATATATTTTATGATATATTTTTAATGATACTGACAATGTATAGCGTGTTATAATAGTTAACTTATTGAGCATTTTTTGTTTGTCATTTTTTAACTTAAAATGTGATTAATGCTTAAATTTTTGTTTTTTATTGAAAACCTCAAGTTTTAAAATGATTTCAGTGTTTCATAAAAGTTAAAAATTTGATTATTTTAAAACAATTTAGATCAGTTAGATAATATTTTCGTTCCAGCAGTCAACTGTAGATATATCAGTTCTTAAAAGTACTTTAATACTATGGCAACAATCAAGATTAAAATCACCTTTTTACATGTTAAAATGACCATTTCAAATTGAGACGTTTCGTCTTTATTCTAAAGACATCATCAGTCAACTGATGCACAAAAAATAATTTAATACTCTTAGTACAACTCTTATCTAGTCTTGCGGTAGAGATGCGCAGGTCAACCTTGCCCTGCCCTGTTCTATAATGTACAAAGCAGGGCAGGACTATAGCTCAAGGTTTGTACAGCAGGACAGAGCAAAGGTCGTTTTCTAAAACAATTTTGTTGTCAATGATCAATAAAGCACAACAATTATCGACACAACATCTCGAATGGAAGAATATTAGAACTACGATGACAACGCTTAAGTGGTGAAACTGTCGATGATAATCTATTATTATGAAATTTCAGGTATGAAATATCATTTTTATACTTGTGTTTCTAGTAGAATTGAATAAACTACAGGCAACACTGAAAAGTAAGCAAATTTTATAGAGCAGGACGCGTGAAGGCTATGAAAATTTTTTATACAGCAAGGACTCAGGATACAAAAATCAGTTGCTTTGCATATCTCTATTCTGCGAGTCAAACTGGACTCGACTAACCTGTGGGACAGGCGAGCTCAGGGCAAAATTAGTTGACTCGCGGTTTCGATGCAAGAAAAATACACGGAGTCAGCACAATCCACAGGAAAAAATTGTTCTGTAAACTTTATCTTTTGCTTGTAATGATACTACAACTTCGAATCTTTAATTCTTGAAATCCATCAAATCAGAACTGTAGTTTTGTAATAATAAATAAAAAATAATCGAGATTAAAACATGAAAAAAACCTGGTTAAAGAACGTATTCAAATAATGCAGTCATTCTGGTTATAATTGTTATATTCTTCAAAGTTCATGCTTTCTTGTATCCTACAGTTTACCTTATGACTCAGGATAAAGTCGCACAGCCAAATCTTATGCTAACATATCCACAACATTTAGCAACACGGTTCCAGACAGAGAATAACGGCGTGTGCAAACAGATTTTTTAGGTATAAAATTGCACTACTCATTTCTGAAAGGTAACGCTACACTATACAGAGGTAATGAAGCGAGTCAAAGTGCAAGGAGGTTCACTTTGAAGAACAAAACTTATTTAGAAAACACATTAGGTAACTCCTGATGTTTAAAACGAGTTTCAGTATGTAGTTCATTAAGAAAAGATGTGTCATTGATGTCTATCTCAAAGATCCAATAGTTCACAACTATTTTATTCAAGTGAAACTGTAGATATGTTTGTTGAAATAATTACTCATCTTGAAAATCATACTTTTAAGTTTCCTTTTTCATCTTTTATTCAAAACGATTCCAAGTCGATTGCATCCATCCATTGACGATGCTTATCATTGGATTGAGAAACGTGTGATAAATGATAGTCTACCTGCTCTTTGTTTATGAAATATACTTTTTCGTCAAGCTGTGTCCAATGAATGTCGAAGATCATATAAGAACTATGTGAAAATTATTCTCAAGCAGAAAATTTACGAAAAAGACGGCTAATAACCATTAGTTTTCGAAGAATTTTAATTTAATAATTTTCAGCAAACTTTAATGCAGCTTTTGTTTGACTGTGACTAATTTAATCTATAAGCTCATCGTGTGGCAAAAGTACTTCATAAGAAAAATTTTTGTCGTTTTTCACAAAGTAAACCCTTGCTGGTCGTCTTTCTAGCCGATTAGTGATGATACCACGGCATTTCAAGCTTGAAAAATCCCTAATATCTAGATGATTCTAATCATATAACTAGTAGCAGGTTTTACAGTTCGTTCGTTCATTCATTCGCACGATTTGGCAGACTTGACGCTGCTTCATCAGTTTGTCAGATGTTTTTGAACATTAACATATTGTTAATTTTAGATACCTTTCGTTTTTCACAGCATCTATTCTTGTTGTTTATTGTTTAACATCAGCTAATTTTGGCAAATTATCACTTGACAACTGAGGTATTCTTTACTATTTCTTTCGTTGAAAAATAAGAAATATCATGAACTGAAAGTACTGTTGCCCAAACTTGTTAAATTTCATGAACAACTATAACAAGCTCTTTATCATTTCCTCATTTATAGATAACGATTTCTCGAGCACGACTAAATTGTTTTTATTCCAACACTTCTGTCAAATAAAGTAATAAACTTACACTAATCTAAAAGGCCTTTTATCTAACAAAAATATAACATTAATAAAACAAAAAAAAAACAGTTTATTATACGAACTAAAACCACAGTCTTCTAAGAGCAGGATATAGCAATAGCGGCTCGTAATTACTTCCTGTTATAATAATAATAAATTTTTTGCACCGGTTTAAAGTGAATATACGCAAAATACGTTCAACAAACAGTTTGTATCAAACACCAGAACGGCCTGGAATGTCCATATTATTTTGCATAAATCCACCCCTCATATTCCAATCTCTAACTATCATTTTGTATATACTGTTCATTCATACACTAATTGATTATCTGAAAAGTGCTAAGAGTTAACACAAGGAATAAGGTATCATATAATAAAAATATCATTTTCTGTTTATAAGCTTTGAGAACTACCAATTAACAATCTACTGAATCAATATGGGTCTAATCGTTTAGATCTCATTTATCTACGAGGATATACCAATGAACAAACTATCAATCACATATAGATCACTTTTGATGTGGGTTTAATTAGCGCAAAAAAGATTTTCATATAATCTGACGAACTATGTTTTTAAACATAAGCCGACACATTCTTTAATTGTTTGTTTACGGGAAACACTTCTTTAGTCTAATAATCTGAATAATCAAACATCAATTGGCTACAACATGAACTTTTAAGGCACCCCTCCCCCTCAGAAATGGTGATTTTTGTTCAAAAAATCGGTTTTGAGATACACACATGGAAAGATAGCCTGAAGTATCTAGTTCTAGAATCTGTATTACTTTTGATTACAAAACTGTGTTTTCGGGGATTTTGAGCAAGTTTTCTAAGAGCCTCGAAAAACCGGATCTTCAAATAATAGTTTTTTCCTCGGTACCTATGCAATTAAAATTTTTCCGAACACATAGCTTTGCAGAGCAAACGTTTCTGATCAAAATAAGACCTTGCACAACTCTGTAGGACCTTGCATCCAAAAGTTACAGGCATTTTCCTAGAAGTCCTAAAATTGAGTATTTCATACAGCGTTTTCTCTATATAAGAGTTACACTGAAGTGCGTCCCAAGATTTTTAATAGCGGTTTGTCGTTTTGAGTTCATTGTTTTTTGTTTAAAAGAGGAAAAGAAACTACATGGACCGACCGACGTTAATTTTTGAATTAGGTCTTAGTTTTCTGTCAAACTGAGGATTTTTCGGGTTTTGTAGATTGTTGGTTGCCTGGAAAACCAATAGAGGCTTAATTGAAAAATCGGCGCCGGTCAGACCATGTTGTAAGATGTCTAGTTTAAAATAAAACAAGCCAGAACTCTCCAGCTTGAAGTATATTAAAAAATCTTGGGACGTACTTCAGGGTTCTTTTTGGACCTTGATCTCTAGAAAACTCCTAAACCGTACGACTTGAAAACAAAAAATTTTTTCATTTCCGTACTCATTGTGCCTAACATTTATGGAAAGTTTTGTCAAAATCCGACGTACGGTGTCGGAGATAATTTCTGAGGGGAGTCCTTAAGGCAACTGCCAAGCGTAGTCCTACAACCAGTTGTAAAACAAATATTACCTTCATTTTTTGGCATGCAGAATTATCTCGCTGATATGTTTCTCATACTGGTTTATATATCCATCGAATATACCACACCATACACCAACATATGATCAACCATATATCGGATCGAATGAACTTTTTCTCTCTCGAGCTCACCGGC